TTTATTAGATGCATCTGTTAGAATTGCAAATGGATGCCCATCTTATCGTCTAGAATTGATCTAGGATTCAGGTAATACTTGTGATAGCCTTGCTCATTTTTGTTCTGCTAAATTAAGGTTTACACTTATATTGGAGTCGTTAAATATCATGAGAAAAAGATTCGACCCACATTGTGATATAGCTCTGATGTTGAGCTACATGGTAGATGCATACGATTTCCCCAAATGTAGTTGCATCTGTATTATTTACTATTTTTGAGAATATTTTTGTATTGCAATCGATGTAGATTTACTCCCCTGTATTGACTTATATGAATGAAAAATTTATTCTTGGATAAAAATAAAACAGGATGGAAAGAAACAAACTAGACATGTTTTTCGAATAAATATTTAAAATTTATTTTAAAAATAAAAAATAATCAATTAATGTCTCTCAAAATTATTATTTATATATTAAAAACGTTAAAATACTAAAAAAAAAAATGCGGTAGATTTTTGCTGGAGATTTCTAATTGCGGTAGTTTTGCGGAAGAGAGATGTCTGCGTGTAAACGAAAAAATTGCGGGAGTCTCCCACTGATGGGGGGAGACATGGCAACCCTGAAGTCGACCCAGCAGGCCGATCCAAGCCAGCCCAACAAACCAACCCAACAAGTCGACCCAGCAGATCGACCCAGTAAGCCAACCTGGGTCGGCTCAACAGACCCAATGAGTCGGGCTGGGTCGTGGTCGATTTTTCGACCCTGGCTCAGAGTTAGGCCAATTTTTACGACTTCGACTTGGGGTCGTGGTCGAAGAAAACCAACCATTTAACAACACTAATCCAGGCAAATGGTAGTAAGTAGAGAGTATAAAATTAGTCGTTTTAGTTACAAGAGATCGTTATCGTTACAAGAAATCTATAGTTATAAGATGCCGTTAAAATATTAGTAGTAGTTATTATATAAGAGATCTTTATTATATGAAATCGTTACCTTTACATAAATTGTTATCGTTACAAGACATTAGTATCGTTAGCATCATAGAGGTCAGTTTTGTTACAAGAGAACGTTATGGTTAAGAGATCTTTATCGTAGGCAATTTGACAAGAGAAGTATTTAATAGTGGCCTTCGCAAAAGATAGGGATAACTCAAAAGTCATCACGTATAGCTAGCTATCCTGTATGAGCAGTTCAGAATGGATTTAGGCGATTTAAAGGAAGGGGTGTCTAATACGTGTATTAAAAAGATAAGTTAATTATAATTTAAACAGTTAATTTGAATATAAAATTGTAAGTAATGGAAATGTTTAAATTGTAAGCAAATTAAATGACAATTATAATTATTGATAGTATGTAAATTTAGTAGTATAAATAGTCAAATTGAAAATGTAATATTTGAGGAAAGAAAAAGAAAAGGAACTTTTTATAATTTTTTAGTTTGATTTTATATTTTTATGTTTTAGTTTATTTATGTTATTTTAGAATGATTTTGATTAACTATATATTTTAATAAATAATTTGTCTTCAATTCTGGATCTTAATAATCACCTGTGTTAAACAGAACTCTTTCATACTTCAACTTACTTCCTTTTATTATGTCTTGAAGAATTGCATTAATAGGCTTACAAAATGAAATTATTTAAAGCCATTTTTTTATATTATAATAGTTAACGTATGAGTGAGATTTCCCAAATGCATTTTTTCTTCTCTCTCTAAAATCGAAGAGCCGTAGGAACAGGTTCCATAACCTAAAAAATCATATATATAGGCATATACAATATTCATATATGAGCGACTTGTCATTATCTAAAAATCTCTGAAATTTAGATTTATTATAAGATTTGTCATATTTGTGGCCATTCTCCTTAATATAACCATATTTATTTCACGAAGTATTCGCAATTTATATTTTGATAATATTTTATAAAATATATTGTCAGCAATAATTTACCCGCTATTTAAATCAGATTGACCCGCGTAAAACTACATTCAGCGCAGGAAGGAAGCTTACACTCAGTAGCGTACGCAGGAATTTGGTGTGTGGGGGGGGGGGGATAATTAAAATTTTTAAAAAAAATTTATTGTTATTTAAAAATATCAAGCACAAATTTATTAGGACTAATAACTATTTCTAATATACAAATTTAAATTAATATGAATTATAAAAAATTAAATATATAAACCGATATATAAAAATAAATTTGATTTAAAAAATATTAAACGGATATAACCGGCGGCATATAAATACTTTAAATAAATCTGAATTATAAAATATTAAGTGGATATAACCAGGATTGACTATAAAATAAATAATCCATAATAGAAATTTAAATTTTTTTGAGCTTTTAAAATTTATATATAAAGTATAAAAAATCTAAATGTTGGAAATATGAATAATTATATTTTTTATGTAAAAGAAAAATATATAAGACATTAAAAAATGATAGCACAAAATATATTATAGAAACATTATATTTTTATAATGTAAAATCCAATCTTCGTTGGGAGTGAGCTAATTTTTCAATTATCTCATCCGTGTTTGGCGTTAAATGCCTATGAATATTCAAAAGGGCCAGACCATTCAACCTACTTTAATTCTTAGGTACGTTTTTAATCTTCTTAAAGAAGAGAATATTCTCTCATTAGTTGCAGTACTAATGGGAAGAGTTGCTAATATATATAATAATTTCAATATATTGGGAAAATAATCTAAAAGATGTTTGAAATGATGCAAAGCATCCATAGCATTTTTTGGGACTATATCAACCATAGTTAATCTTTTATACCATAGTTGGCATTCAGCTAATAAAGCATCATGAGATACATTAATGTCTTCATGATAAAAATCTTCCAAATATTTTATTTTTTTTCTATCAGCATCTGAAGAAGGTTCAGAGGGCTTTTGCGGAAGTAATATCTGCAGATTGATAAGTGATTCTTGATGAATTAAAAACCTTTCATTTACTTGGGTTATAAATGTATCCAAAAGAGGTATAAAGACATTTATTTTATAAATTCTTCTATTGACCCTATATGAATATTTGGACGAAAAGTTTGCCTTACTGTAAGTCGAGGGAGACAAATATTGAACTCGTATAGCTCTGCTTTTGATTCAACATTAACATATAAAATATGAAATTCCTCATCAGCATTAGCTCTAATTTCTTTGAGTTCTAGTATTACATAAAATAGTTGTATTTAAATAATTTATTAATACATTCTAATGCGAAAAAAAATTTGGTATAAGTATTGAATCCAGTAACTTGATTGCTTCTGAAGAAATATTTCTTTCAGACCATTGTGATATTTCTGTAAGAGCATTAATAATCGGCTCTTCTAACTCGATAAAAGCTGTTACTGCTTGATGTCGAAGACTCCATCTTGTTGGACAAGCTTTTTGCAATTTTTTTCTCCTTGTTGGGCAAAAAGTTTCAGATATAATTCTGTTCAAAATATTTTGACGCTTGGGGTATCTAAACATCTCATAGATGCTACATATTTTACCTGATATAAATATAAAAAATTTAATTTTAATAATTAAAAACCTAAGCAATTTGATATCAATGGTAAAGAACATGAATCCGATATTGCTAAGTTGAGTGAATGGGCAGCACAGTGGACATATATAGCTGTTGGGCATTTTTTTAATAAAAGCCTGAAGCCCATTGAATTGTCCACTCATTGCACGTGCTCCATCATACCCTTGCCCACGTATCATATTTATATGTAGCTTATTTTTGAAAATAATTATATAATAAGATTAATTATTACTTTTAATTTTTTAAAATTCACAAATATTACATCAGCTAAAGCAGACCCAGTCATGCTTGAAACAGGAATAAATTGGAGAAACATTTCCTTGATAATGTTGTTTTTATGAGTATCTACATATCGCGCACACAAGACATCTGCTAAATGCCAGCAATGTCCGTGGTCTCATCTGCCAAAATTGAGAAGCATGGGGCAGAATTGATTTCAACAATCAATTTTTCTAAAATGATATTGTTGCAAATATCAATTATCTCATTTTGTATCCTAGGGCTGAGATAAGTAGCATTTTTATTGGTACTAATGAGGCGCTCCATTAATACAGGATCTCCTAATGCTTTAAATTTTAAAAGTCCACGGAAATTTCGTTATCATTATTATTAAAATTTAAGCTTCCTGAATCCTTGTGGCCACGAAGTGCTAGGCCTTGCAAGCCAAAATATAAAATAGCCTCAATAGTTAGTTTTATCTTGCCTCTATTTTCTTTTGGAATTTTAACCCTATTTTTATCAATTATTGATGAAATGGGAATCATATCCCCCTTTTGAATTGATTCTTTTGAGGAAATCATCAGTTCACAGCTTTTGTTTATTAAATTATTATCCTATGCTTTTTTTCTTTTTGGCATGATTTTCACCTTCAGCGTTTTTAAAAAAAAGTCTAATATCCATGACTAGAAATTTGAAAATTATAATACCGGGAAATTTATAAATAATAGATAAATATTACGCCACAAGGAAAACTTGAAAATGAAATTAATTGATAAAGTAAATTAGTAAATGAAAAAGGTAATAATATAAAAATTTAAAAAGAAATAGATATGAATAATTATAATAAAATATAAAAAATAATATTTTTGAAAAATATGTCGGGCATCTGAATTTTGGCTTTGGGGGGGGGGGGATTTGTCCCCCTGACCCCCCTGCTGCGTACGCCAATGCTTACACTTATTTCCTTTTGAGAAAAGATCTTGACAGAGAAAAGACAGATTTGATTCCTAATCATATATATTATATTTTTAATAATATATATGTAGCATCACCACCTTATACCAGAGGAAGTCATATGTGTTGATAAGAACATGAAAGTCAAGGTCTCAAGGATGCTATTAAATAGAATATATAAATAAAATGAATTTTAAAAAGTTTTATAATACTTATTTTGAATATTTGCCTTATTGAATTTGTTTTATATTATAATAGTATTTGAATACAAAAAAAATATAAATCTAAATGCACACAAGTTTGTAAACCATCAATCTATAATATCCAGCTGGTTTAATTAATGTTTTAATTATGTGGATAAAACCTGAAGAAATATTAATAACTAATGCATTTTGGTATATTTCTCATTATTATAAAATTTTATATTTATAATTTTTATGTCTTAATTTTCTATCATTAATTTTATGAACGTTTTGTTATAATATTATGCTTCATTATTAACTTAACACATTGAATATTTTAAGAACATGGTTTTTATATTGACAATGTCAAATACTTGCATTAATTAAGTAGAACAATCTCTTATCTATGATTTTTATTGAGAAGAGGGGAGGAGGATTTAATATTTCTAAAAATATTAATTACTAATCTGAAATCCAGTATTCATAATTTTGAGGTAACAGATGTATATTTTTTAATTAAGATGATATTAGAAGATAAAATTATGATACTGGAATATAAAATCATTGTAAAATACATTTATTTATTTTTTTATGTTTTTATTTTAAGTTTTTTAGATTTAACATATTAATCATATTTATAAATAAAAGGAATTAAATTATTGGAAGCAATCATCCAGTTTATCCCCCCCCCCCAACTTCCTTAAATACACTAATAAAATAGAATGTCCCATAATATAAACAGTTCCTTATATCTTAAATGATAGTTTATGTATTTACTAAATTTTAAATAATTTATTTTCCAAGCTGTATATAGGCTAAGAAAATTGAATTTGTAGGATTCTAATGGGTGGTACTGATTTGAAAAAATGTTCTTTTTTAAATAAAAAGAAATTCTATATATAAAAATCACATCTTATTCTTTTTCATCATAATTAATTCATATTTATACCTATATAATAACTATGCAAAAGACATTTAAGATTCATTTTGAGGATTGAATGGACCATAAAATTATTATTTTTTGATAATTTTACATTGTATTTCCTTGTTTGCTAATTTTTATAATTCTTTTTTTGCTAATTTTTTTTTGAATGGGAACTAAATGAAATCCTTGACATGCCATTGATACTTTACACTATCCCTTAGTAATCAATATTTTGTTTAGCCTATCCAGGGCCTTGAATATCAAGGGCAAAACTTAAGATTTTTTGTTTTGGGTTTTCTTCTTAAGTGTATTATGTAGACTTAATTACACAAAACATTTACAAAACAAATATTATCTGTAATTAAATTTAAACTTAATCTTACCTGTGTTTATAAATAATAAATTTTATCATATTCATAATCTTTTTTAAAAAAAAATTGTAAAATTATTCTCATTTTGTTTTTTTAATTTGTAAGCAGTACTTACTATTTAAATTTATAAATAAAATATTTAAACTACATAAATTTTAGAATAATAATATTTTCCCTAAATTCACATTTTACAATAAAAATATCTTTTTTGATTTTCAGGTTTTTATTTTATAACAAAGATTTTCTATATATCAATAATCCAGCTGTTACTTATTTAGAATGGTTAGAATTTTTCTCTATTACTCTTAGAATTATTCTTCCCCATTCTCCATTTTTATCATCGTCCTCTTTTCTCCCTTACTTTCTTTTTATCATCTTCCTCCTTTCTCCCTTACTTTCTTTCTAACACTACAAAAAAATGTTCTTTTAAAAATATATTTAGGGCAAATGAACGAGCCAATCTTTATTTTAGCTTGCAAAGACGAAGGGGTGGTTCAGAGGTTCATCAGACTGGAAAAGTTGTTTTAACCAATTCTACCACTGAGAATTCTAATAAGCAGCATTTGACTGAATACAAAAATAATTTATCTGTGCACCAAAAAGAAAATAATGATGCTACCTTAATCGAAAATGCAAATTCTGGCCTGCCTCGAAAACTAGTGAAAGCCGCGGTTATCTCGGCCATTTTCAACAGGGGTTCCCAAGTGGCATCTTTGCTCTTTGGCACTCTCGATTCGGTTTTTGATACCGGAACTACGCCCCCTTTTAGGATAGTTTATCAGCACCCGGATTCCGATACCGGTTTTAAAATAGCTATAGGACTGGGGCTCGAAGAAGTAACGGATGAATATGAATGGTTAGAAAAACATGTCCTCTCTTTGCTAGGTCAGTATAATAATTTAAAAATTAAGTATAGCTATATAAATTTAGTATGAAGAATTGCATTTATTAACTAAGTATTTTTTTTTACGAGATGAGGTAGTAATATTTTTGAACTTTATTCGTTATTGCTATTTGACATGCTGTAGAATATTTAAAATTATTTTAACCATAGCGCACGGGCGATTTCGGAACAGAACAATTACACATTGTTAACTGAACCCTTTTGCCGTAAATTTCAGATTTACAGCATATTTTTATAAATAAACGACTATTTAATAAGGAGTAAAAATTTTAAGCCCCCCCCCTCCCAGACCCGATTTAAAAAAATCCATTTTAAGTCCGATATTTTTTTTTAAAAAAATTGTTTTTGCCACATACCGGGTTATTTTAAACCTAACCCGGATTTTTTTAAAATTTGACTGTATTTTAAAATCGTTATAAAGAAATTTAAAAATTTGAGCAATAAATGAATTTTTAAAACAAACTCTTCTATTATATAATTTTCCGAATAATTAATTAATATCATTTAATTATTTTTTAAAAATCGGCTCAGCTCGTTCGGACTTTAAAAAAGTCTAAAAATAAAATAGATAATAATGTTTTCGCTTTCTTTTTATTAAAATAAATTTATAAATGAAATTTCTCTAGGATTAGGACAAAGCAATTTTTTTATTTTATGTAACTATATAAAAAAAAGTATTTTAATTTATATTTCCAATTAAGAATTTCGGGCCTAAAATTAAATTTTGGACACCGTTCAGTTCTAAAAATTAGTAAAAATTTTGGTCTGGACTCGGATTTAAAATCCGAAAGCAAGGCTTAGGGGGTTTTCGGTGAAAATAATTTAATTTATATTTAGCTATATAACTACAAAAATACGAATTGGATAATTTCATATTCTTTATTTGATTAAAAAGGGATCCGAAAATTTAATTTTGTAAAATCAAAAATAAAAATGATTTAAGATTTGGGAAAAAGTTAAAAATTAAAAATAAGGAACCACTGATATATTTAATTTAAATTATTTAAGAATATTTTTGAATATTTTCGAATAATTTTTTAATTAAGAATATTTAAGAATAATTTGGAATAATAAAAGCGCTATTATTATATTTTTTCCATCATTCTCTCTTAGATTCCAATTTTCAAATTGAATATTTAAATACGAATCAATTAACGATTAGTTACATTTTCAGTATTGGTAGATACTTTTAATTTTTTTTATTATTAGAAATCATTTTAACACAGGGCTCCAACTATTTTTATTTTTTCCTAGTTTTCTCTCGTACCAATGAAGGAAGGAGTTAAATATAAATATGTTTTAAAAAATTATCATGAAATATTTTTTTGATAAAACCAACAAAAGATAGATATACTTATGAATATATTTTTACAGAAAGGATTTGAAATTTTAGGTGAAATTTGATCAAAAATCCTGCTTGAGCTTTCTCAAAAATAATAATCAGAGATCAAAAATCTTTGAAGATTTTTTATTTTGAAAGCATTTTAAATTTTGATTTTTAGGAATAACAATGTTGCTAGCTATAATTAAAAAAATAGGTGTTTTTTTATGAAAACCCTTTAGCCTTGCTTTTACGTTTTTCACTTCTTGTTATGAGAGATTAAATGTTAAATGAATTATAATTTTATATTTAGGCTTTTCCTTTGTATATAATCAAAAAACGTAAAAATTGCCAATTTATATTATCCAAAATGATATTTCAGACAATTAAATTTTTTATTACTAATACACAATCTTACAGATGAATTTATTTAATTTTAAAGTTTATAAAACAGTTGGAATAGACCAATAAATGATTGTTAATTTTTCTAAACGATGCAAAATATTATTCCATAAAATAGTGGTTTAGATATTGAATAATGATTTTAAACAAAAATTAATATATTTTATGTACTGTAAATTATATACCTTTTTGAATCAGATGCATTTAAATCACTAAGGCTAAAGTCATACCGGAGCGTTATAGTAAAAAAATATGTATAAAAAAATTACTCTACTGAAAAATTTTCACCATAACAAATTTTTTATGTAATTTCATAAAATAAAAATTTTTATGTTCAAGGGTAGATAAAAATATTTATGCCCATTTGAATATTAGATTTTTTTCTAGCAAAAATCTTTGAAGGACGATAAAATTTATGATTTTTTATGATCATAAATCATGAAAGATTTATAATGAATAAAGATTTATTCGGAAAATTTTTTTATACAATAAAATTTTGGACAAAATTTGATCAAAAGTATTAAAACCATGCTTACATTGGCGGGAGTGTAAAAATGCAAGTATAAAATTGCGTTAGTGATATTTTTTTAATATTTATTAATCCTATTTTCTATAGAACATAAAAAATTATAATCATAATATATTTTTTCTCCTGAATATTGCAGAAATTAACAAATATCTAATGATTTTTTTTAACCAAATTTAATCATTTAAAGACGGCATGGGAAACGAGGAGGATTGCACGGCTTTTATCAAATGCAAGATCGAGAGTTTAAATGCCGCAGAGTCCTTACCGAATGCTTCTTTCAAAAGTTACCTGAACGCGAGAAATAACTCTACTAATTCTTCCAGCTCCCTTTTGTCCTATTCTCAACTGTCCCCTACCCAAGATTGCAGTAATACCAATGTCAAAACTAATTATTTTACGCCTCAGCAGTATCACCAACAGCAAGCAGAGAACGCATATAAACCGTGTTTTAACGTGGATGAATACGAAGTAATTTTTCATCCTTACAATGAATTGCCGCATTTAAAATCGAATGATGGACAGGAAAAACATAGAAATCGGCTGGGAAGCGATATCAAAAGGACTAGGAGCCAATATTTAGAAAGGGATTCATTAGATGATGCCCAATATACTAAAAGGGGTGGTTCGCTGCCTCCTAAACGTAGAGTACACGCGCATAAAGACGATAAAAGAACGATACGCAACTTTAATGATCTCTCCAAAGACTTTAAAAGCTTGAATATTCATAAAAGTTTTGTAAAGAAAAGATCGATTAATAATAATGGTGGCCATAAAAATGATCGATTAATTCATAAAATCAAGACTATTCACCAAAAACAGCAGAAGGCCGTGGAAGATGCCACCCAATTCAAGATAGTAAATCATAAATTTCGCAAACTCTTCAATATGCCGACTTCCGAAAAATTAGTCAATTGTAATATATTCTTGTATATTTACTGCAGAAAGAGAGAGAGAGTTAAATGTTAAAAATACTTAGCCAATACCAATTTATATCTATTAACTGATATTTGGTTATTATATTATATTTCTGAGACCTTCCTACAGTTGCTTAAATTATAAGCTAAACCTAGATTTAAAAAAATATGATTTTAAAACCCTACCAGGATTTCAATAAAAAATTATATTTGGTCCAATGTGTTTATCGGGCTTTTTAAGCCCTGTTCATCTCGGATATTTTAAGTGTCGTTATTTTTAAAATAATTTTTAACTATTCTGCCAATTGTTTCGAAGGGAAATTGAAAATATGAGCAGTAAATAAATGTTAAAAAATTCCTCGGTTGATGAATTAACATCGTTTTGAAAAAATAGGCCAACCCAGACGGGTCCTGAAGGGGTCTAATGTTGTATATATATCTCTAGTAACGTAGCTAATTTTTATCAATTAGGCTTGATGGAATCAATACTCGTACGCTGATAAAAATATTTTTTTTTACAAGGGGCATACTTTAAGAAAAATAGACCTCTTATATTTTTTTTTCGCTTGCAAAGATTATTCGTGTTCATACTGGAAAGGATACGTACCAAAGCAAGGTTGGCTCTACTTGAGCCTAAACCACGTCTGTTTCCATTCCTATATCCTGGGTTCCGAAATCAAATTAGTTATCAGATGGACTGACGTTAACCAGCTAGAACAACAGCAAGCTTTTTTTTCTCCTAATACGATAAAATTGGCCACTAAATCTTCAGAAGTTTTGATATTGTTTATTTTTATTTATAAATTGGATTAAGATATTTTTTTTTTAAAAAAAATAGAGCATTGTATGATATATCATAGGTGTTTAACAAATTCAGGACAATACTTCATAGACCCTGTTTTTAGCAAATTAAATTTTTAAATTATCTATAGCCTTCCTTATTTTATTTTTTATTTTGGTAGATTGCCTCTGATTTTCAATTTCGCCATAAATTTTTGATTTAAAATCTAAAATTAATCTAAATTAAGGGTTGCGTTCGCTACTACAAACTCAACTTATTAAATATTATAATATTTAATCTTATTTAAAATCTAAAAGTTAAATAATAATAATAAGTGTGTGGTCTTGTTTGTTTTTAGCAGAGTATAGTAAACAACTACACATAGTCTTACTCAGAATCTGAAATATTTAAACTATTAATTATAAAAATTATTTTATTGTTTAATATTCAATGGATAAGTATAAGTACTCTATATTTTCTAGAATCGATTCCGGCATAATCACGTCTTTCAAAATTAAATAGCGCGAGTTTTAAACGATATAAGCTAGATTTAGTAAATATTCAGATTTGCTAAGCCGCTGCGACATTATATACATATTCCTTTTTTTAAAAAGATTAAAGTATAATAGAAAAAAAGGAGCTAAATAAATTAAGAGGCGATTGGCAAGTTGGTAAAATGCTTACTTAGAAATAGTTCTTTATGTCACTAGGGGTTGTCTTCCCTTTAAACGATGCTTTTATTTTTATAGTCATTTTGAAACTGATCGTTAAAATTGAAGGTAACATTTTTAGTTAAAAGACCATTAATCAATCAATGAGATTAGGTTTATAAATTAAGAATTTCAAAATTAAGCAAAACTCTTTTATATAATTCTAATATTTTAAAAGTAATTTGGTTAATTAGCATAATAAATATTTAAATAAAAATCATTCATATATAGTATACTCTTACTTTATGTAAATAATAGCTTTAAAAATGGTCTCTTGATGCGCGATAGATCGAATATTTTATATTTATTTCATGATTTGCAGATAGACCTATTCATCGAATAAGAATAGTAAATTTTAATATTCGCGAATATGAATAGTAAATTATTCTTATTTTTTTAAAGGAATTTTGAATAGGCCATATGCAGATAAGGTATTTTATTAACTTATTTTTAGTTTATATATAATAATAGTAGTTATCAGATCTAGGCGTCGGACATGCTTTTGCTACTGTCAAGACTTAGAAAAAATAACTGATTTGATTTTATTTGTTTATGAAAGGAAATATATATACACTATCAAAATTTTTTCGAAGTTAATTTTTTGAACAAAGAAGTATATTCTGGTTTGGGTTCCCACTCTAATTTTAAGCAATTGTAAAATATTTTACATCTTATACTTTCATATCTAACATGACAATTTAATTTTGTAGTGTTATTAACGCTCGAAATCTAGGTTTTAGCCAAAATACGAGATTTCGTGAATAGATGTTCGACTCTAATAATTAAAATTAATTGTCAAACAATCAGGATTCTTTTTTTTAACATTTAAAAACATTCCCCACTTAAGCATTACTTCTCATTATTCCTCAAAATTAACGAAACCTTTTCTGTCATGGAGCAACTAACGAATTTGGCTATGCGTCAATTAGTTTCCGACGATGTTTTCCAACATTTCGACACTATCTCCCTTTTTGTAAATAGTCACCGCGGCCGTAACACACTTACTTATCATAGCTGTGATTCTATCGAATTGGATATGAAATCTAATTTGGACCAATTCCTGCGAACGCATCATAATCTTACAGGTTGTTATAATCTCGTAATCTTACAAATCCCCGAGAAAGAAAAGAAGACAGAAAAAACAAATCTTAAAAACATTTAGTCTTGTAATTTAATTATCAGGAATCAGAGTCGTTAAGGAGCGGCGCTCCTTTTCAAAAACACCTGGAGCACCCCTCCTTTTTAAAAATGAGGAGCGGGAGCTAACTCCTTTTAGGGCTGGAGTGCGCCGCTCCACCACTCCTTTAAATTTAAGGTATAAATTAAATTATTTTTTAGAATATTAATAATATTAATAATATTTGTTAATTAAAATTCGATAAAAATGAAATTTTATTTTATTTAAATTTATCCATTATTAAATGTTGAGCCAAGTTTTATATTGGTTTTTCTTCTAACATTTTAAATATTAAACATCAAGTTTTTCAAATTTATATTGAAAATTTTTTGGAAAATCTTGTAAGTCAATATTCATTTTATAGATAATAAAAAATAGTTTTCGATATTATGGATTTAGAGATCATAGAAAAAGAAATCGAATTTCTATTTCCATCATGCAAAAAATATTTTAAACTTCTAAAAGATGTTGATATGTTTAAGTAAAAGTATTTCATTTTCAAAAGTGAGCAGCTCCAATATAAAAAAGCATCGAAAATTATAAAATATTTCTTTTAAATACGAAATGATAACTATATTTTTTTTTATTTTGTAATAATTTTTTTTTAAATGGTTATAATTATTTTGGGCAATTCATTATAGTTGAGCTTCGGTTGTTAGATATGATGCTTTTTTAAATATATTTTAATATTTATTTTAATTTTCACATTACTTGTTCAACCTCCTTTTTTATACCTGAATTAAAAATATCTTTATAAAATACAATACCCATCTTCTCTCTGGAGCGCTTATTTAGTATTGCAAAAGGGAGAGGCGTGAATGTTTTTTAGATTCTAATTTAGAAAATTTATTACTTTTAAAGGCTAATAAAGTATTATAAATATTTTGCGAGATCATTTAATATAAATAAAACTTTTTGAAAAAAAATATGATTTTGTTTCGTGTACCTTCTAAAAAATGAAAATCAAAGAAGGAGTTATGGAGTGACACTCTATTACATGGAGCGGGAGCTAGCTTCTTTTAAAAATGTAGTAGCGGGAGCGGGAGCTAGCTCCTTTTGAGAAGGTAAAAGCGGGGGCGGGAGCTAGCTACTTTTAAAAAGAAACGTTAACAACTCTGGTAGGAATGTTACATTAAATAAATATTATCTAATTTTGATTTGTGATTGGTTGTTTATTAAGATATTTTACTTAGATAAACAGTATCGACTTGGTTGTTTATTAAGATATTTTATTTAGCTATACAGTATCGATTGGCTTATCCAGAACCAGCTATTTTACAAAATTTATAATATGAAAAACATAATCTTTGTTAGATCAAAGACTAGTGTCCATCGCCGACACGCCTAATTTATCGCAATCCGCTCAAAAGTATGAATCAGAATTAACTAGAGCTTTTCCGCAAACAACTTTGAAGAAAAATCATGAAAAATCAGAGGAGAGGTATTTTTATTATTTGAAATTTTAGTTAATAAACAAGAACCTCCAAACCTTCTCCCGAGTTGTTTCAGTTTAACACCGGGGCTGTAAGCCTCGGGTTTAAAATTGAAATTATCGCAAACATACTATCGGTGCGACCCAAATCTTGATAAGCTCATGACCATTTATTTTTTTATAAATCCAATACCAGGTTGTGTTAAATTAATTTTTTTTTAGATTGCTATTTAATGCTTATTTTAATTCTTTTCTTATATCCATCTAGCTGTCTTTCCAAATCTGTGAAATATAAAATAATACCAGCAATGATCACATAAAAGAAATCTTATAATGTTTTTACCCTTTTTAAATTTCTTATATTAATTATTGAAAATACAAGTAACTATAATGAATTGTTAGGGAATCATTTGACCAAACTTAAATTATCTGAAAAAATATTTTGGTGCAAGCAGGGAAAACATAATAATTCGAAGTATATTTATTTTAACTAAACATTACAATATAAATTACATTACGACTGTAAAATTTAAGAAAAAGAAAACCGATTGTAGAATTCATTGAGGAAACGAGATGGAATATGAATTCCTATATTTAAAATTTTTGAGATTTTACTTAATTTAAATATTTAAAAATATTTTTATTTTCAATTTAATATTATTGCCGCTGATGGAGATAACCTATAATTAATTTTTAATGATATTCTTTTTCTCTTCTTTTTATTCTTTTAAAATAAAGTAAAACATTCAAAAAAGTGATCATTACAATTTTTAAATATATTAATAATAATCAATTAGCTCTTTCGAAACTAATATATCTTAAAAGAAATTATTTAATCAAAATACGAGTACATATAAAAATATATATAAAAGTTCTAAGTATCGATTATATTGGCCAATACCTTAAGGTTTCGGGTTATTTGGTCATTGTCTTAAAAAAAGTAATATATTTGACGTTATGAATTTACGGATATAGAATACATAACTCAAATCTATAATAAATGTTATAAAGTATTATGCGGCATCACTCCATAAGAATATAGTTATTTTATTGTATTTATTAGTTTATAACAGTGATCCAAATCTTTAAACTGGTATTAACCTTCATTTTTTTTTTCGAACCTGAACTGTTAAATTATCTTCTATCCAAATCATGAATGCTTATGAACGGTTTTCATTATTTTATGTTTAGAAAAGAATATTAAATCAAATTTATTACTAGAATATTGCCAAAATTCTACATCTGAATTGTTGTAAAAATTATTATCATTCCATTTTGATTGATAAGTATCAGTCACAATTTTTAAATTTTTGTTTGATGCTATTTTACAGCATTTTTAAAAAGTTTCCTTTTTTTATATAAAATTTTTACAAAGCTTATTAATGCCAATGATGTATATATATGTCGTATTGGGATATGTTGAATCCCCACGTTTTATTCGGAATCTTTTTTTTTAAATATTTTTTTTTAAAATATTCCGAATCCCCATAAAAAAAAATAATTTAATTATTTTTTCTTCTCTTTTTTTTGCGGCTGGCACCATATAATTAAAAGGCCAAAATAAGGGATTTAAAAAGGGAATTTTAAAAAAAGTAAATAGTATAAAATTAAGGCATATAATAAATGAAAAGGGATGAGGTTGACTTTTTTGTTTTAAAAAATATTAAAAATATATTTATAAAAAATCCGAATTATTGCAACAATTATTCAATGCAATATGGCATTTCGTTGAACATTTAAGTAGGGACCCAAATCGTTATTTATAACGGTTCAGTTTGGTTACGGTTCAGTATATAAAAAATTATAATGGTTTATTTTTCTGGATGTAATATTGAGTTAGCCGTTTTAAAAAATCAATTATTGTTACATCTGAATATTTATTATTGTAAAGGTTAAGATATATTTTAAAAGGACGTTATTTGTATATTATATTATAACTTTCCAACATGTAATATTATATTATCGAGGTTAATCAAACTGCATATTATTAGAAGTTAAATTGGATAATTATATAAATGTATATATACCAGAAGAATTACAAATAAAATTCATTATCGTTTTTTAAACTTTAATCGATTTAATAATTATGAATAAGGAAAAATACTATGTATCTTTAGGTTGAGCCAAATAAGGTCAGACTCATTTAAAGATTGTTAAAACTAAATTATTTATAACAACGAACAAATTTTAAGTTGAGATTATCAAAATGTTTTTTTAAAAAAAGGCTAAGGACCAATATATATTTTTATTTAGTAATTTTATATATTTTTACATATTTTTATATAGTTGTTTTAATATTTTAGTGTTTTATCATTTTTTTTTAAATTATACAAAATAAAATTTTAAAAAATAAAACAAATAACAATGGCAATATTTTGAAGTTTTGGAAGCAGGAAAATTTATTTCCTTTTTTGAGAAAATTAGAGTAAAATTTTGTCAGCCCTGGCAAATTCGGCTTCTAGTGAAAGGTTATTTTTTATAGCCAATCGCCAATTAGAGGAAAGGCGTACACAATTGAAATAAAAAAAAAATAGACATTCTTCTTCTTCTAAGTAAAAATTTGGATTTATTATGTATTTATTTTTATATGGATAATGGAATTAAAGAAATAAATAGAATAAATTCAAAAAAGTGTAAAAAATTATAGCATTCAAGTTTTGAAAAATTTAAAAACACCGTGAATTTTCGGGCGTGAAACAAAATATTGCCTTTCGTGAGCGGTCGGGTCGGGTCGAAATTTTTTTAGTGGTAAGCGTGAATGGGCGTGAATATTTTCATTGCCACATTTTTTTTTACATTTAATTTATATTAAAACCATTTTTTCGAGTATTTTATGATTTAAAGCATAAAAGTAATACATAATAAATATCTCTAAAAAATTAAATTTTCTGGTTCCAGCCAGCTAGGCGGCAAAAAAATATAATTTAATTGTTTTTTTTTAAAAAAAATTCCGAATCCCCTTAAATATTTTTTTTTAAAAAATTTATTTTTGTTATAAATATCTGAACCATAACCTTAACCGAACCGTTATAATAAGGATTAAAAAGAACCTTTATAAAAAACGGATAAACCGGTTCAGTTTTTATATTTTAGAAATGGAAATAATTTGAATATCCAGAATTATATAAACGTGCTCTTATAGTACTGGCGGTTCCTGCAACACACGTTTCTGTGGAAAGGGCTTTTTCGGGGCTAAATAAATGAGTTAATTTGAATCTTATATATTTATTTTATATATAATTCATAGATGCTTATAATAAAAATAAATTAGAAGATGGTGTTGCTTCAATAAAAAAAAATTTCTAACCTTAATGAACCTTTATTACCTTTATAATTAGCTGAACCGAACCTTTATAAATTTCTTCTCAAGAACCGTAACCAAAACTTAACCATTATAACTTTTTATATACTGAACCATAACCAAACTGAACCGTTATAAAACGGTTCGGGTCCCTGTTTAAATGTTCAACGAAATGCCATATTGCATTGAATAATTGTTGCAATAATTCTTTATAAATATATTTTTTATAACAAAAAGTTTTAACCTCATCCCTCTTCATACATTATATGCCTTAACTATTTACTTTTTTTAAAATTCTCTTTTAAATCCCTTATTTTGGCCTTTTAATTATATGGTGCCGACTGCAAAAAAAGAGAAGAAAAATAAAAATGTCTTAATCTCATCCCTTTTCATTTATTATATGCAATTTTATACTATTTACTTCTTTTTTAAATCCCTTATTTTGGCCTTTTAATTATATGGTGCCAGCAGTGGCGTCGCTAGGGGGAAGCGCAGGGGCTCGAGCCCCCTGAAAAATTTGAATAGCCCCCTGAAGCAAAAAAAATTTTTTTTAATGGCTACTTATAATATCCCCTTGAACTAAAAATAAATTTTTTTTGATTGCCCACTGAATGATTTCTTTTATAATTCCATTAAGTAATATATAGATATAATTTTATTATTTAGAAATTAATAAGACTATTTAAATTTTTATTAAATGAATATTATTTTAATTTTTAGATTAGATTAATACATATAAATTATATTTTCACTATGTCAGCTTGCAATCAAATTCTGTATTAAAAATATAATATCAATAACTCACTAAATATTATTTTAGCTTTAACAGTTGAAGCTTAATTGACTTTTATTATTTAAATTATTATTTAACCCTAATTAAATAAATATAATCATATATTATTTGAAAATTAACAAATTTAATATTGTAATTAGCCGAGTTCAAAATGACTAATCAACTGTATATTTATTTTGAAATTTTATTATCATACCTTAAAAATATTTTCAAGGTCCAAATAAAGAGATTTCTTTATAAAAAGTAAGTAGACATATAGTTTATAATCCTCTACTATATACAGTTGTTTATAAAATATTAGATATACTGCCACTTTTATAGACGTATTTGACAGTTACATGATATATTACAGTTAATATTATAATAAATTTTACTAATAAATGGTTTTAATAATAAATATATTAACAAATTGCATTCAAGTATTTAAGGCCATCTATTTAGTTATAAATAATTTTTAAAATTAAACATTTTATTATATATCCTGCAATAAATGTAATAAATTTGATATATTTTCTTCTCTTTTTTTACGTGTTTTTAGGAAAGCTATTTTTTTCTTTTTCGAAAAACAGTCTTGAGTTAAATTTTTAATACAAGTATATTTTTGATATTATTACAAACTACTATTATTTTAAGATATGGTGGTGCGACAATATATAAAATCTTAATTGTTTCATCATATCATTCTGGTCCTTATTTTATAGTTAGAAAATGTTTCATTTCTAATATGGTATTGCCGTGTAAATAACTCCAGGCTTCAATATATATGCATAATTATTTCTTCCAAAGATTTTTAGTGTTTTTATTTTATCAATTTATCCAAGATTATAAATTCTAATATTAGTTTACATAGTGAGTGCCATGGCTATTACTGCAAATAACCAGCATCTATTATTTGTGTTGCTATGTAATTTAAGATTATTACTATAACGGCTGAGAGCATATAATTGCATATTTTAGATAAACAATAATGGTCAACAATGTAGTCGTTTATATACCATTTAAAATGGAAGATAATCTTTTAGAAATTTAATATCTCACAATAATTTTCTCGATTACCTATCTAGCTTCCATAATGTCATCTAAGAGGAAGCTCTAACCACCATATAGTTTTATGATTTGGATTGGTCGTTTATACTCTCTCCTACAAAAATTGTTGATTTGGTTTAGGCCTATAAATTTTTCCTTATTAGTCCATTCTATAAAACATTGTCTAAAATGGTTACAGAGAATTATACTAGTTTGATAACCTTTTGTCAATGTAAGTTGCTAAGAATTATATTATTGCATTATGTGATTTTTTATATGTCAGTTTATTTTGTATGCATAGTATAATAAATGGCAAAATATGAAAATCAGAATAATTGTTCAGAATTAACAAATTTTAAAAAAGTATAATATATTAATATAAAACCCGGTCGAAGGCCGAGCAAAAGCGGGCCAAAGGCCCGCAAATTGGGAGGTTGGGGGGCGAAGCCCCCCATAAAAATTTTTTTAGTTGAGCCCCCTGAGATTGTGAAGGCTAGCGACGCCCCTGGGCTAGGTGCCAGCCGCCAAAAAAGAAAAGAAAAAGTAATTAAATTATTTTATTTTTTTTTCATGGGGATTCGAAATATTTTTATCCCGAATAAAACGTGACGTTGGGATTCCCAATCTCACATGATTCCATATCCCAATACGACATATATACTACTAGATTAGCGATTCATGCATTAAATATATAAAAGCTTATATACAAGAGAGTCAGCTATAGCGCCATTAATGGTTTTACAAGTCAATTAAATGACATTAATGTGCCTTAATATAATGATCAATAGGACAGCTATTTAACCTACGTACAAACCCTAAAATGTGGCTTAACTGACTCTTATGTATATACACCTTAATTAATAAATCACCAATCTAGTAGTATATCATTGATAATGCCTAATTTACGTATATATAGTATTATAAATGATACATTCAATTATAAAGTTACAGATTGTGATAAAATTATGAAAGGCCATCATGGTGAAATATTGAGCCTAACATCAGAAACCACTATCTAAAACTCAAAAAGCAAAGGAAATATAAAAAGGACTAGGACATCAAGCCAACAGACTCTTGAAAAAGCATGAACAAACATGATCATAATTGAAATCTATTATAAAAATCAGAGAATATTAGAAATAGTTAATTTTTCTAAACAACCTCGCCTAATTAAACAAATGAATATCTTATACTATTGACAACATAGTATATTGACAGTGGCAGCTTACTTGGTGTAGAGACATGTTTCTCAACAATAAAATTTTTACTTTCTCCATATTGAGATGAAATTTACTAAAGTTAAAAATATTTAAATTGTACGACACAATACTATTTTAAGTAAATAATGTTCAATATTAAAGTATATAATCATATTTATTTGTTATAAATATGCAATTAATAATAATAAACGTGTTATATATATTTTTTTTGATAAAATAAAATAAATATGCTTTTCCATACACAATTCTAATGTAAGTTTATATATAAAAGAGCTTAAGCCGTTTTTAGAAGTTCGAATTGAATATTTTCGAACAGAACCTGAACCTTTATTTTTATCTGAACCCGAATCTAACCGAACCCATATTCGTTTCTGATTAGATCCCTGGTTTATAAGTCATAATAATAATAATTATAACTAATATTTTATTTGGGAAATAGTTTCTCAATAAAAGCATTGAATGAAGGAGACCGGAAAAGCTACTATGTACCCATCCCTACTAAGAAATGGACACAACCACCTGTATCATTAAAACGTAATCTGGACTCAAGAATGCGATGCCAAGCATATAGGTTAAGTATATCATATTAATGAATGCTTATAAATTATAAAAAAATTATAGATATAGGTAGAAAGATAGTAGTTAGTTAAGTAATAGGTAAAAATAGAAGGAATTAGATAAATAGAAAAATTTAGATTAAAATTGATAGAAATAGGAAAAAATTAGATAAAAATAAATTAAATTGAAATAGAAATAGAAAAAATTAGATAGAAATAAAAGTAGAATTAGATGGAAATGAATCAAAATTTAACAAATTAGTTAGAATTACATAAAAATAAAATGATTTTTAAAAAAGATAATAATAGATAGAAATAGACAAGAATAGAAATAGATGAAAATAGAAATAAAAAATTAGAATAAAAATTTGTGGAAATAGATAGAATTAGATAAATGGATAGATATAGATAAAATTGTAACTTTTATGTGATGGGTAGGAAATTTTTGTTTATACTTAGTATAGGGAATCAAAATAGTTTGTTCAAATCATTTTTACCTTCTATATAAAATTTACCACGTATTATATTAATTAAATACATCGTCTAAAAAGTTATCCTGATACAGATACCATTTTTAGAATTTATCTAGATATAGATATATTTTTTTAATACTCTTATATAAGTTTTGCATAAACCTAAATTAGGATTCTATTGTGAAAATTTATGAAATGAGCTAAAACATTATTGACTAGATATCACATTTATCAAAATATAAGTAAAATAATGATTTTTAGATTTTAATATAATATATGATAAATTATTATAAATAATTATTAGGTTTCGGTATAAAATATTTTCAAGATTTTGGTCATTAAGGCATCCTCGTTTATATGTAAAGACATTTTTAACTACACTAAAAAGTCTTTCTACCAAGGTGCTTGAAGGGATTGTGGTGTTATATTTTGTGAATAACAATATCAGGATATTCTTTAAAAATAAACTCGACATTCATTTTTGAAAAAATTATTTAAAATTTGTTGAGTATCAAAATTGAAATCATTATTAACAATCATATCTATTGCTGTGGAGTACTGAAAAAAATCGGATATTCAATTATTTGTTTTTTTCACAGGTTATTTGTTTGCAATCGATAATTCATCAACTAATCTTTGTATTAATTGTTTTTTTCATTCTCTTAAAGTTTAAAATTACAAATGTAAACATTTATTTAGTATCTTAACCCTTAAATGTTTTACAATGTTGCAAGTTAAGGTAATGCTAACTAAAATTCGTATTTTTTTGTAGATATGGCAAACATACTATCAGAGATCTGTTTTCTTTATATTGAGATATTATTTTAAAATATGCTCTATAAATTGTTCACGATAAAACAATGTCTGTACTTGTTGATGCTTCATTGATTATTACTTCTTCCTCTTCTTCACTTTTAATATTAATCTAAAATAAATTTTTTATAGTATAGTAAAATAAAATTAACCAATTCCATTGAAAATAAAAATGGCAGATTCTTTGAGTTGCATTATAATATAAAAATTTGTCTGGTATTTAATGAATATTTATATATATATATTTAAATTATATGCTCATATGAAATAAAATAAATTTTGCATTCAAGTTTATTTATATTATAAAAAAGCGTTAAATAAAAGTATATCTAAATGTATCTTAAAAAGTATCTAAAACAGATACAGATACGTCTAAGATAATATCTCGATACAGATACTTTAATTAAAAATCTATCCAGATACAGATACCACATTTTTATATCTAGATTTAACAACTCTGATAATTATTATAAAATTGTTGTATACAAAATAAGAATAAAAATATATAATTAATTTAAATAATATGTTATTTTTGTTTGTTTATTTGGTACAATATGCTTTATTTGCATGACGTTGGATAATGTCTTCTTTAAATTTATCAATATTGTGAACAGTTTTTAATATTTCATATATTTTAAAAGGTTATTATATTTAATATTATATAAAAGGTCAGTTAAATTGAATAATTATAGAATATTTTACATATACAAGAATTGAGAATAAAAAGTTACCATTAACCATATATTATGAGTTTTCTTCAAGTTATAAAATTGGCAACAAGATAAAAAAAAGATGTGATCTTCGGTCAAGTTAAATATTAAATAAAATTGTATAAAAAAAAATTTTTTTCTTTTTTTTTAAAAATATATTTTTTTTCAGACATTATGGGTGATATTTCAAAAATTACATTAGCGAATTTCGTAAAGAGCAAACTTCCCTATTATATTAAATATATTTTGAATAAAGAATATTCCTCGAACAGACGCAACTTTGAAAAAATTATCCATAGCATATGGAAGGATAAATATAATAAAAGATATAAAAAAATTACTATTTCCAAGGAAAATTTATGATGTGGTATGGGCGATTTATATAAAATGCAAAACTACTTTTTAAAGACGAAAAAACTGTCTTGGCATCAAGAATTGATTTCATTAGATTGAGTCGCGGGCCAACAGAATCAGTAATGATATTTAGAAAATATAAAGGAACTAGCCCGTAGATGTGAATTTGAAGATAATATAGAACTACGATGATCAATTAGTCGCTGGATTAAAGATGCCGCAACTAGATAAAGAACTACGATTAAGATACCCAGATACTAGAGACGAAGAGCAACCGTTAAGCTTAAGCAAGGTTATAGAAATGGCTTTAGCAATTAGAAATAAATAATACTAAAATGGTTTATAAAATCAAAGAGACGACTAAACATAATGATAATAACGATTAAATCAAAATTATAATAATCGGCAGTATCAAAATGATAGTAAAACATACGTAAAAAAACCAGTTCAAGGTTATAATAACTACCATACGAATAATAATAATACAAGAAAAAAAAATGGAAGAAAGTTTACGGTACAAATTACAATAAGATTTCTCAAAGTCTATAAATATGAACAACACCCAACAATTATGGTATTAATAAACAACCACAAAATGAAATATGATACAGTTCATCACCATCATTAATGCAACAATATGGAATTAAATTGGGAGGCCAAAACTTAGAATGGTTAGAGCTCCATCTACATATGGAAACAATACAATAAAATTTGTGGTAGAAGCTCATGTAAAAGTCCAATAAGACGATTAAATAACATGGCTACCGTTATTAGTGACAAAAACAAATGATGCAGCACTATTTGGATTTCCATGGATTATATAATTTGATCTATCGTTGACAACAAAAGTAAAAGTCAATATGATTAGCAAAAAATATACTAGTAATGATAATGGAAACAATGAATATTGAAAAACTATTAAAGGTTTGCTACTGTGTTTGATAATAAATTATGATTAATAAAAATGTAGAATCACTAAAACTACAATTAGAAGAAAATACAAAACCAATAGCTCTACCAGCAAGAAGAGTACCGTTGCCTTTAAAAGTAGAAATTGAAAATGAACTGAAACGTTTGGAAGAAAATAACATAATAAAGAAAATAGATCCATCAACAACAAGAGTAACCTGGAGTACTCCAATGGTAGTGGTACGTCGTAAAACTTCAGGTGAACTACGATTATGCAAAGTAACATTGAATAATTTTTACTAAAAGACTAAGTATACAACATTAGATCTAAAAGATGCATTTCTATAAATGAGTATTGACGAAGAATCGCAAGAATTAGTAATTATGGTAACACCATGAATACTACCGCTATTTACAATTACCAATAATATTTCAACGATATATAGGCGATTTACTGGTTGACTGTAAAGATACAGCAGTTTATTTAGACGATTTTATAATCAGGAAAAAATGATATAGAACATGTAGAGAATATAAAACAAACCCTCAAAAAATTACAAAATGCGGGATTAAAAGTTAAAATAAGCAAAATAAATTTTATGAATGAAAGTATCATATTTAGGATACATATTAGATGAAAATAGAATACATCAAGATAAAAAGAAAATAATAGTATAATACAAAAATATCTAACTCAAAAGATAGACATGACATAAAATCATTTTTAGGTATATTAAACTATCATACACGGTTCATACCAATTTACATGCGCCGAATTACATAATAAAACTAGTAAAAATGTTTAATGGAATTGGACTAAAAAAGATCATACATTATTTGAAAGAGCAAAAGGAATAGTAATACAAAAACTATACATTTTATAAAGTGGATCTCGAGTTAATATTAGAAACAGATGCATCTAACCAAAAATTTGGAGCTGTACTTCTTCAAAAATATATTAACAGAGACGAATTTCCAATAGCTTAAACCTCAAAAACTTTACAAAACACTGAGAAGAATTATTCTACAATAGACAAAGAAGCTAAATGAATAATAAACGGTTTAGAAAAATTTCATAACTATTTTTCAGAGTTGTTAACGCTCTTTTTAAAAGTAGCTAGCTCCTGCCCCTACCTTCTTAAAGGGAGCTAGCTCCCGCTCCAAGTAATGAAGTGCCACTCCATAGCCGCTCCTTTGATTTTCATTTTTTTTAGAAAGTTATCAAAAAAGTTTTATTTATATTAAATGATATATCAAAATAGATATAATCTTTTACTTTTAAAAGTATTAACTTTTCTAAATTTGAATCTAACAAACATCCACGCCTCTCCCCTAAACCTGTATAGCAATGCTAAACAGGCTCTCAACATGAACACTAGAAGGAAGCGGGGTATTGTATTTTATAAAAATATTTTTTAATTCAGGTAATTTATCAAAAATAGTAATTTTGATATCATTATTTTAAAATATTTGTTCAATATATTATCTTCCTGATAATCAATTTCATGGAATCCAAAAAAATCTTCCAAATCATTGCAGTGTTCCCGTAAACTAGTAGCTACTTTTGAATCAGGAATTTGTTTTCTTAAAAAATTAATTAATTTGTATTTTAGTTCGATATTTTATGGATTTTTTTATCCATTTCCAATTTAATTTGGATGAAGGATGGATAATAGCGGCAATGATATTTTCATCAATATAAACATTAAAATCTGCAATAAAGTTATTTAAATAGATAATTAATTTTTTATTTCGATATGATATCTGGAACCATGATATCAAAAACTATTTTTTTATCATATATTTATATGAATATTAATATGACTTACAAGATTTTCCAATTTTCAATATAAAAAGAAAGAAAAACTTGATGTTTAATATTTTAACTGATTAGATGAAAAACCAATATAAAACTCGGCTCAACATTTAATATTGCATAAATTTAAATTAAATAAAATTTCATTTATTGAATTTTAATTAACAAATAAATTGATTTATTAATATTTAAAAAATTTAATTTATACATTAATTTAAAAGAGTGGTGGAGCGGCGTTCCTCCACTCCAGCCCTAAAAGGAACTAGCTCCCTTTCCCGCTCCTGATTTTTAAAAGGATGGGCGCTCCAGGTGTTTTTGAAAAAGTTTATGGCATATAAAGAGATTTAAGTTTATTAACAAATCAAAAATTATTACGTTGGGGCTATAGATTATTCGCATATGATACGATATTATGTACAAGAAAGGCGTTAATAATATAATTGCAGATGTTTTATCACTAAATTCATTATAGAAAAATGATGATAGAATAACAAGCGAAAATAAAACAGTGATTTATATAAGAAATCTTAATTATGAAACATTAACTCTATCTAGAAAAGAACTTAGAGAAGAAACCGCAAAAGATCCAATCTTAAGATGAGTATAAATATTAATAAATGGTAAAAATATACAAAATCAAGCGCCAGAATTACAAGATTTTAGAACAAGAATAGATAAAATAGTAAATGACCATGGGTTGTTTTGGAATGGAAGATTGATCACGTACTCACTTCAAAAAAGAGTTTTACATATATTGCATACTGGACATCCGAGTATTACATCAATGAAACCCATTACGAGACATAATATATGGTGGGAACAATTAGATAAATATGTGTAAAAACTAGTTAACAGCTGTATAGAATATCAAAAACAACACAGAGATATACCAGGTGTTGCCTTATACCCGTGGAATCCGTCATCGCAACCCTGGGAAAGGGTACATCCGGACCACTGGACGGATTTTATTGGATGGTAGGAATCGATGTATACTTAAAATGGATCGAGATCAATAGAATTAAAGATGCAACAAGTAAGAATTTAATAGATAAATAAGAAAAATGGGTTACTCGATATGGTAATCTATTTCAAATTGCAACCGACAATGGTCTACAATTTATTTTGAATTTGATAAATGGTGTAAAAAACAAGAATATGATAAAAACTACACCGTATCCGAAAAGTAATGGTTTAGTAGAAAGATGCATTCATATCGATATTTCGCAAATAGAGAACAAACAAGGGGAAAAATGCCTAAATGAAGTGTCATTTACATATAGAAAATCAGAACACTCATCAACAGGGTGAATACCAACAAAACTGGAAGGAGACTAAATACATTATTGGACTCAAACATTCTATTATTGAAAAATTAGAAACTTCTTTAGTGAAACCTAACCAGCTAGACAAAGGAATACATAGATATTTTGGAGAAAACGATTTAGTGTAGATAAAAAACCCAATTGAAAAAGGATGGCATAAAGGAAAGATAATAAATCAACAAGCTAAATTCTCTTTTAATGTAGGCGAAAAAGAAAAAATAGTACAAAAACACGCCGACCAGCTACGAACAAGGGAAGAACTAATTGAACACGAATCAATAATAATAGATGACAATATAAATTTAGGAGAAGATAAAAGTAGAAACAATTAAACCAAGTTAATAACGGGTCCGATTGAGAATATATAGGGCTACTTTAAAACGACATGAAAAAACGGGAATCTGTCGAGTGAATATAAGAAAATATTTTATACCTAAAGGTGTCAAGACTTGATTGAAACTCTGCCACTGACAATCAAAAAATTTTAACACGCCATTTCTCATCCTCAGATATTAATTTCAATTATTTTATACCTCGTGGTATTTCTTTATATTAGTTATAAATACCAAGTAAATTACTTAATTAAATCTAAGCAATATTTTACTCGAAAAATTTATATGGTAGGTAAAATTGTTTGAGTGAACTATTCACAATTGTCCTCGTACAGGTTATTAAATACTAGTTTAAAAAATAATATTTAATTCCTATTTTTTTCGATCTTTAGGACATTATTTTGTCTACCATCTGAAGAAAAGCTAGACGGCACTGCTCAATGTTATTTACTAACTCCGTACAGGAAGGCTCCCTCAAATGCCTCTGTTTATGGCACATTTTATCTGTCTCATAATTACATTTGTTTTGACAGCAAAGTATTTATTTTATTTAAATATTTTATTGTGTTGGGTAGATATGATATTTTAATCGGAATTAAAAACTATTTAAAGGTACTTGGTATAGTTCAAATCGTTATTCCCCTCATCCATATACGTGATATTAGAAAATTAAGCAATGAAGAAGAAGAACAAGACAATGCAAAAAACCATGATCAAACCAGTTTTTTCTCAGCTACTACGACTCAATCGTCATCACCTATGACGGCGAAAGCAATGAATTTTATTCATAACGTTGGTATGTAAACATTTACTTTTTTTGAAAGATAGTAGAGAGAAATATAAGGCAATATAATAATTTTTTGTTTATAATATTATTTTGTCTTGTAAATTAATCTTTAAGTTCGAATTTTCATAAATCTGTGCACATGGGCATAACTTGTGTTTTACAATGTTTTTTTTATTTATTCGAAAAATTTGGATATTTTGATCGCCTGCATAATTATTTTTTTGACTGTATATTAGTTGTATTAATTCCGAATAATTTTCCATATTTTAAAGTAATAAATGTATATATAAAGTTACTCTATACAGATCATTCTAGTGTTTGCCAAATTAAATATTTAATAAAATATATTATATATTCAACTATAAATTTTAAATGTGAGAAACCTATTACTTTAAATAATGGGAAATTTGGGGAATTAATTCATCTATTAAGTAAGTGATAAATATTGTAATGTACAAACGTGCGAAATAGCTAAATTTTTGAAATCAATTTTGCAACGTTTGATTTCTTAATTTTATTACCGAGTAAAAAAACGGTATAAATTAATAATCAAATTTGTAGGGATATAATTTTTTTGAAATGCTTGAAGGTTAGAAAATTTGGTTGGCCAATCTTTAAGGATCTCATGTATTGTATTCCTAACTTATATAAGTGTAAAATATTAAAAATAATAATATTTATCTGAAAAAATTAAATTATATGCATAAAATAAAATAATTCAGCTACTAACAGTAAATTGGTAAGCAATGCTAAACTCAGGCGCTCTAAGCTGGAAGACGATATCAACGATGAAAACGATTTCGTGATAATAACGAAATCCAAGATTGATTTTAATGTCCATGAGGGTATCGAGATTACCATCCCAGCGAATTATATCCCGATGGGTGATAATACCGCCTGGTTTTCCAAGAAAGAATGGACAAATAACGAAAAGGGTCAAAAAAATGCCATCGGCCTAACGCCTGTAAAAAAAATTTACTTTTACGATTTTGCCAATGCCGATATCATCATCAACAAAGTTCGCGAGTTTTTGATCAAATGTCGAGAAAAAAACAAAACACGTGGATCATACAAAAAACATAATGACTCTATAGACAATTATATTATAAATGATTCCAGGTAGAATATATAATCTCGATATTAATAAACTTCTTTCTTATAGAAATGAACATTCCAATCCCATGCAATATGACCACGGAAATACTATATTAGATAAGGGTATAAAATTAAAATATTATCTTAGGTGTTGGGAAATTACCTATCTGCATTTGACTCACTGAGTGATTAGCAGAGTTTTAAGCGATTTTTTTTTAGCTTAATCTCGAAATGGCTTAACTTCAAGGTTCAAGACAAAACCAGTCGATTTCCTAACATTCATTCTATTTTAAATAAAGATGTTTAATTTATCCACAACCACAAATATAAAAAAAAATATCCACAAATTATGTACTCAATTCTTTTAATTTTTCCCCCCCAATTTTTGGATATTTAGAATTACTAAAATTTTGATAACTTTTATAAATTTGCACTTATATTGCCCCATTAAATAAATTCACAGATTCGGGGTTTTTATCAGACAGGCCAGGGGTAATTTTTTTTAATAGGGTGTACCTAACAGAGTTGTTAAAAGATACTTTTCAAATGGATTTAGACACCGACATTGTCTAAAACTTATCTAGACACAGATACATCACCCAAAAATATATCTAGGTACAGATACATTCTTTCAAATGTATCTAGATACCAATATAATTTTTATTATACTTATGTAAGGTATGCAATATGCCTAATTTAATATCCATTGTTAAAATTCAAAATTTGAGAGTTGATATCTCATCTATATACAAAATATATAATTTAATGTGTATAAATAATAATTGTTAAATTTCAATAATAGAACATTCTCGAAATTTTCTTAATGGAGGCATCCCCTTTTATCTGTAAAGACAGTCTTAGTCAAACTAAAAATTATTTCTATCGAGGTACTGACAGCAGTATGGTGTTAAACTTTATGAATAACAATTTTATGTTGGGACAAATATACAAAAATCCCGACACTCATTTTAAAAAAAATCATTCAAAATTTGATGAATGTCAAAATTTTATCATTATTTATAATCATATCCTCAAAGAATGCTGAAAAAAACTACATATTAAGTTATTTTTTTCTTAGGTTAGCTGTTTACATTTAGTTGTAAACTTTGGTAGTTCATCAACTAATCTGTATTAATTGTTTTTTTTAATTTAAATTTTACATATCGAAGTCCAGTCAAGTTTGAAATGAGGTGAATTTTGAAATAGGCTTTATAAATTGGCCAAGGAAATCCACTATTTGAACCCGCTGATGCTGGATTAATTATTTATTCTGCTTCTTCATTATCACTTGTAATACTGATCTTATATATAAATTTTTTTTAAATTAATTTAAATATCAAATATCACTTACTATGTTGACGTCTAAAATAACATTTGTCTGGTTTGTCTTTATAATGAAATAAACTCGGATTTTTTTTAATATAGAAAAACGGAAAATAAAATTATATTAAAATGCATGAAAATATATCTAGATTTTTATAAAAGTGTATCTAGATAAAGAACATATGATAAAGGCTTATCTAAACACAGTACCACATTTTTTTATCAAGATACTTTAACAACTTTGGTGTCAAAATAAAATAAGATGGTCTTTTCTTTTTTTGTAACTTACCCCCTTCATCATTCTCTCTTAAGGTTTAATTTATTATTTAACACTCATTTTTCTAAATTTTACTTTACTTATAAGACACGGATAACTCTACGAAACCAATAGATGCCACCGACTCATTACCATCTTCTGGGACCAATACGATGCGTCTTGGTAGTTTGCCTGTGACTGATGTGAAATTATTGACAAACCAAGAAATAAGTGAGTTCTATCTAGTTAAATTAATTAAAAATTTTATCGGTAAAAAATAATATAAAATTTTTTATATCATAAAATAAATAAATAAACAATCATAGCTGTCATTATTCAAAATAACTATCAAAAAGTGTCCTAACCACTTTTTTGATTATAACGCTGTGTTATCGGTCCTATGCAGTTCAGACCTACACAGATCTTTTTTTAAAGTTGTCTGCAGGATGCATATTGATTCGAACCGATCAAAATGAATCTATTTCATTTTAGGAGATCCTGTTTATAAAGAAATTTTAATTTATTTTTAAACCCCACCCAGATTTAAAAAATATATAATTTTAAGATTCGGATCGGGCATGTAGATCTCTATTCAGTGGTCCCTATTTTTTTTGAGCGATGGAAGCAGAATATCTCCCTGAAAAGTATCCCATCCCACTCGAAATAATGGTTAATTATTTTTTGACCCATAAATTTAAAAAATAATTTTTATTGCATCAATCTTTAATATATAATACAAATAAAATGTAAAAAAATTATTTACTTTAAAAATATTAATTTATAATTTCATCAATATTTAATTGTTTAAAAAAAAAATTCCCATTGATAAAATAGTTAAATTATAAATGGGTCTTTCATGGTACTACGAAGTCTTGTTTTAATTAACTTAATTTTACTCATGACTCTTTCGGCAAGACATCAGGTAGTAGGAATGGTTAATAAATATTTATATAAAATTGTTAAATTAGGGAAAGCTGAAAAATTTTAAAGTAGACGATAAGGTAAAATAAATGAATAATTTTTCTGGTTTGAATCATAAGTCTCAGAATTATTATCATATAAAGAAGAAGCTAAATATTCGAAGTATTGTAAAAAGTGGTTAATAAGACGCTACTTTATTGAAAAAATAGCGGAAACTCTTATAAAAACAGGCTTTGAAATACTAATTATAAATAAAATCAGTTTTCCAAAAATAAATAAGTATTTATATGAGATAGTTTGCCACCATGAACCTTTTTCTCGGGTTCTTCTACACTAAAATATTAATATAACATGTTTTACAAATAAGATTTTTACTATTTGATTAAATAGAGTTTAAAAATAATTATGACTTTTATCACTTTTCTATGGCTTTTATTGAAATTTTAATTGACTAGTTTTTATATTTTAACCATTTTCTTCAAAATATTCCAAAAAATTATCAACATGGCTATTTTAATTTTTTCAAGGTTTTTCATCACTGAAATTGATTTAACATGTTTACAGTATATATTTTTATCTATCTGCTTCAATTAAATTGAAAAAGTTCAAAATTGACGAATATGACAATTGTCACTTTCCTATGGTACATCTTCAACGATATTTTAATTTAACATGTTTGCAAAATATATTTTTACCCATTTGTCTAAAAAAAATTCGAAAAAGTTAAAAAATGATGATTATGATAATTGTCACTTTCCTATGGTACATCTTCACTGAAATTTTAATTTAACATGTTTAAAAAATATATTTTTACCCATTTGCCTTAAAAAAAATTTATAAATGACGATTATGACAATTGTCATTTTCATGGTACATCTTCAATGAAATTTTAATTTAACATGTTTACAAAATATATTTTTACCCAATTTCCTTAATAAAATTCAAAAAAGTTCAAAAATGACGATTATGACAATTGTCACTTTCCTATGGTACATCTTCAATTAAATTTTAATTTAACATGTTTACAAAATATATTTTTACCCATTTGCCTTAAAAAAATTCAAAATGACGATTATGACAATTGTCACTTTCCTATGGTACATCTTCAATGAAATTTTAATTTAACATGTTTACAAAATATATTTTTGCCCATTTGCCTTAAAAAAATTCAAAAAAGTTCAAAAATGACGATTATGACAATTGTCACTTTCCTATGGTACATCTTCAATGAAATTTTAATTTAACATGTTTACAAAATATATTTTTACCCATTTGCCTTAAAAAAATTCAAAAAAGTTCAAAAATGACGATTATGACAATTGTCACTTTCCTATGGTACATCTTCAATGAAATTTTAATTTAACATGTTTGCAAAATATATTTTTACATACTTGCCTTAAAAAATAAACTTCAAGTCTGAGTCGGAAAAAACGACCCAAACTTCAAGTCTGAGTCGAAAAAACGACCCATATTTTGGGTCGAGATCGTTTTTTCCGGCATGGACTCGGGTCGAGGTCGGAAAAAAGACCCATATTTTGGGTCGGGGTCGCGACTCGCGGCGTTTTAACAACACTATAGGGTATTGTAATATTATATCAGAACGACTTTTACTTTTTCAATTTGAAAAAAAAAATTATTTCATAGATTTTTAATGCTTATAATAATTGTGTAAAAACATAAGTCTGAGGGGCATCAAAATTTTGTGAAATAAAAAAAAATATATAAATCCAATATAAAAAAATAAATTATCATAATTTTGTTGTTGGAAAAAAAAACATAAACATAACTTATGCATAGAAAAAGGAAAAAAAATTTTATCCACAAGCACAAACAAATCCCTTCCCCTTTAAAGCCAATGTAATTAAAGCCGTAATACAAAAAGGTCATTTATCAGCTTTTTATATCCTAATCTTGAGGTGATCGTTATGCCTCACCACAAGAACCCCATTGTCCAACCTGATATAACTCAATTTCACCCCCATATTCTGTACTATGCTTCTATTTCCCATTTTTTTTTCTTATTATCGAATAAACGTGCCCAGACCTTTTGTTCCACAGAAAACTTTACCTCTGCTTTATCTACCAATGAACATTGTCTTTTGATTTCAAGAAATCTAGTTCGTCTACCTAAAAATAACTCCACAGGCGTAACCCACTCTCGATTGTGAGAATTAAGGTAATATAATTAAGACATGTACGCCTCATATTTATGATTACAAGCCTTTTAAATCCAATTTTAACAATCTCTACAAACATCTCAGCTTGTCCATTCAAGCTGGGATGTTGATGCACAGGTATTACATGGAACACATTTCCTGGTAATCTTTTCAATATCATTACCCATACCAGGCCACCATGCATATTCACATGCCCAAGATTTCACCTTATCTCGACCCTGATGTCCAGCATGTAATAAATTAACAATTTTACCACGTAATTTAAAAGGAATTACGGCTCTATTTCCCTTCATTAGCAATCATCCACCACAGACGATTCATTTTCAATCTTTTTTAAACTTTTACAAATATTTCTCCACGGATTTTTTCCCGTTAAATAATTTTATCTGACTCAATTCTTTATCTTTCAAAGTACTGAATTTAAGGTCTTCCCAATTGGTAGGACCCCCTTTCAGCATATGGGAAAGAGAACAAACCAATGCTTTCTCATTAGCCATTACTTGATTTTTATTAGATTCGAGATCATCTTCACCCGATCCCAACCTGGATAAAATATCAAGCAAACAGTTTTCTTTGCCTCGACTATATCTAATTTCCACATTGAAACTTCCCACTAATAACAACCAACGTTGTAATCTGGGAGATAACTTTAATTCCCTATTATCCTTTTTGAATAAATGGATTAAGGCTTTATGATCGGTATAAATTACAAATTTTTCCCGATTAAATATTCCCTACATTTGGTTAAACCAAAAATAACGGCTAACGCTTCCTGTTCAATAATATCGCGTTTCCACTTCCCTAAAAAAAAATAAAATCGGTCTTTCCAAACCATCAACTAAATGCAATAATGCCCCTCCAACACCTTTGTTAGATGCATCCACGGCTAATATTATTTCCAAATCATTGTTAAAACACCAAAATTAATTCTTTCCCGTTTCAATGTTTCAAACGCAATTTGTTGTTCCCATGCCCAATCATAAGAACTACCTTTTGCAATAATTTATATAAGGGTACGGCAATCCTAAAAAATCATCCAAATATCTATGATAATAATTAACCATACCCAAAAACGATTGAACCTCCCCTTTATTGGTTGGCTGCTTCATGTTCGAAATATTTTTCAAATTTTTGTCCAGAGGTTTAACCTTCATCCCATTAATTTGATATCCTAAATAGATAACCTCGGTTACCCCAAGAACACTTTTTTCTCTATTGGCCCTTAGACCTTTATCATTAATCCTCTTGAAAACTTCATTCAATCGTTTATTATGCTGTTACGACGTTACTCCAGTAATCGACACATCATACATATAATACAAAACTCCTTCTAGGCCCTGGAAAACTGATGCCATAATACCCTGAAAAATCGGCGCAGACACACTTAATCCAAACGGTAACCTACAAAAGGCAAATAATCCTTTAGAAGTCGTTATCTTTAACAATTTACTAATTTCCTCCCTCAAAGGTAACTGTAAATAAGCCGAAGAAAAATCAACTTTGGAAAAATATTTTGCACCCTTTAAATTGGCCAAAATTTCTTCAATTCTAGATAATGGATACTTAACTTCCACAACCCAACGGTTTAAGGTGAAAATCAGCACATAACCTCAATTTTCCATTGGATTTCTTCACGGGGACCAATGGTGTTGCCCATTCACCATATTCCACCGGAACAATAATGTCATCTTTGACCCAACGGCCTAATTCATCCTCGATCTCCCTTTTCCACTCAAAAGGAACTCGTCGACATGCTAAAAAATGGGCAAAAATCTCTTTTTTAGTTTCACATTCACTTAATAATCATTAAGACATCCTAAAGTGTCTTCAAAAATTACCTCATACTTCTCCATTAAAGGAGATATATTATCTTCACACATTTTATGTAATTCATTAACCTCAATAGCAGCCTTTCATTAATTTCAATATTATTGTCAACCAAAACATTATCGGCCATAATTTTTCGGCTAACCTTATTTATTGCCAAATCATTCTTTATTGCAAAAATATTCCAATAATTATTGGGAGGACCGAGTTTGGTCCAATCCCATCCCATAATAGTTTCAACATTTTTCTTTTCCATCCATAAATAAAGAAAAAATGTGGTATCATTGAGAATCACTTCCAATTTGG